CTTGACTTACCAACTTAGATTCAAATCGCGCCATAGAGTGAATGTCCAACAGTGGCTAGACTTGCTGATTTATTTATTTGCGGTTTCCTGTTTGCATCAAGCGAAGTTTGTGGGCCGCTTTACCACATTCACTTTGTCTCTAGAGTTTGCCATGTTTGCCTTCAGGCTGTTAGCTGTTTTGGTTGCATCCAAGCTATTTAACATGCAGCCGTGATGCATCTCTAGCTAGCTGGTCAGTCACGTCGAGGTAAGATTCTGATCCTGAAATATATTCCGCATTTTCAAACTATCAGCTTGGCATTTTGATACGTCTTTTATCTAAACAGAAGGGATACTATAGGAGTTCGAGGAGAGGAACCTTTGTTGGTATACATCGTACTTTACGTGAAAGTTGACACGCCTCAATCTCTTAAATTGTTCTGGAGGATGCAACTTTTCACCTCAGGAAGTTACCGGTGCCTCTTTATCAAACGCTTTACTAGTTGTGCAGTGTTAAATGAGGCCTACCTAAAAAGTTAGAGTGAGGCAAAAGAATCGGCCATTTGTTTATTCGAGACGCAATTCTGCAAAGCCATGTAGTAAAATGATAGTAACTGGTAACATCTTTAGTTAAGGCTTACAAGCTAATAGCCCCGACGTTTTCAGTTAATGTAACTGACTTCCTGAGATAATATGAGGATACTGCTCCTGGGGTATCGATATAAAAAACCAAGTAGAGAAAACTAGTGTCAATTTTAAAGATCTAGTGATTCCAGGACTTAAAGCTATTGGTTTAATTCATCTGCTGCTGGAATAATCGGAAGTACATCAGTGTTTTGCTCGCCAATGATGTTTGATCGGTCCTTCACAAGGTTCTATATTCGGTTTTCTATCAAAAGCAGGCAAGATTGGTAGCCTTCTGGCGATGTGAGAACTTTTAATGAGAGTATTACTGAGGCTCCTGAAGGCAGTACATAAATACCTTTGGCAACGCGCATAATCACAAAATCAATCCAGTAGTTAACCTAGCCAGATACTAGCTTGCTAGACTACTAGCTTACTAGTTTTCTCGCCGGTCCCAAGCCCGGGCAAAGAGAGAGGGTTGGGACCTGGTGCTAGCAACTCCACCCCTGTAAAACAACCAAATCGCTACAGAAACTTCAACGAATAAATGTATTAAAAATTCTAAAAACATAAGCAATAGCCTTACTTTTCGCTGGAATCGGGGAAGTGAAATGACGCAGGCTGGTGAAAGCCTTCGGGAAGCTAGTCAACCGATGTGCCTTCTTTCGATGAAAGCAAAAGTAAGGATGGGTACCTGGAATGTTCGTACGATGTATGAAACTGGAAAGGCTACCCAGATAGCCGCTGAAATGAGAAGGTACAGAATAGAAGTGTTGGGAATCTGCGAAAGCAGATGGAACGGAACTTGAAGGTGCCAACTACCTACTGGAGAGACAGTAATCTATTCCGGCCACCTAGAGGACAACCATGAGCACACCGAGAAAGTGGCCATCATGATGTCACCAACAGCAACCAAAGCTCTCATGCAGTGGGAACCAACCTCCTCCAGGATAATGACAGCCAGGTTCAACTCAAAACGAAGGAAAGTTACAGTCATTCAGTGCTATGCGCCTACAAACGTCTCAGAACAAGAGAAGGAAGAGGCGTTTTACAGACAACTACAAGCAATAATGGACAACGTCCCAAATGGCGATATCAAAATCCTGATGGGCGACATGAATGCGAAGCTGGGAGGAGACAACACAGGAAAGGAACTCACCATGGGTCGTGAGGCCCTCGGCGAAATGAACGACAATGGTGAACTCTTCTCAGACTTCTGCGCCTTCAATGATTTGGTGACTGGTGGTAGTGTGTTGAAAAACAAGGATATACACAAGGCGACATGGATTTCACCAGATGGACGCAACAAAAACTAGATAGACTTCATTCCAATCTCAAGAAAGTGGAGATGGAGCCTACTGGACACAAGGTCGAGGAGAGGAGCAGATGTGGGTTCAGACCATTATCTAGTAGAAGGGACTTTCAAGGTGAAACTAAAAGCCTCGAGGATAGCTGGGGATAGGCCACAATTCAAGCTCAACACTCAATTATTGAAGGACACAACTACAAAAGACACCTTCACTGCAACTGTCAGAGCAAAGCAGGAAACACTACGCGACGGCACTGAAGAATCATGCGTGAAAGAACATTGGAAGTTTCTGAAGGTGATTTTCAGGGAAACGTGTTCAACCGTTTTAGGAAGAAAGAAGAGACAAGGCAAGGAATGGCTCTCAATGGACACTTGGAAATTAATAGAAGAGAGGTGAATGGTGAAAGAGAAAATGATTCAATGCAAGGACAGATAGAAGAAAGAGACGCTGAGCTCAACTTACAAAGCACTGGACAAAGAAGTGAAGAAGAGTGCTAGGAAGTACAAAAGACCATTCTGCGACAACCTCGCTACTGAAGCTGAGAAGGCAGCAGGCAAAAGGGACCTGAGGACACCATATCAGATAACCAAGTCTCTATCCGGGAAGAGATCAACACAAGCGAAATTTATAAAAGACAGCCAAGGGAACCCAATCACCAAGGAAGAAAACGAGATTAAACAATGGGCGGACCACTTCAAACGATTCTTGAACCGACCATTACCTGCAACCCGTCCAGAAATACCAACAACAGCACGCACACAACTGCAAGTTGACACCAATCCTCCGACAAGAACTGAAGTCTTGAATGCAATCAAGCTTCTGAAAGCTGGAAAAGCAGCCGGACCAGATGGAATACCCCCTGAAGCACTGAAAGCGGACCCAGAGACTACAGCAGACATGCTGACTCAATTATTGCAAAAGGTCTGGAAGGAGGAAAGGAGCCTACTGACTGGAGGAAAGGTTACCTAGTGAAACTACCAAAGAAGGGCGACTTGGGACTTTGCAAAAACTGGCGAGGAATCATGCTTCCGTCGACGCCAAGTAAAATCCTGAGTCGCATCATCCTGGAGAGATTAAAGGACGCACTGGAGACAGAACTGCGACCAGAACAATCTGGATTCAGGAAAGGCAAATCATGTACTAACCAAATTGCAACTCTATGCATCATCATCGAACAAATCATGGAATGGCAATCAAACCTCTACCTCAACTTTATAGACTTTGAAAGGCCTTCGACAGCGTTGATCGTGAAGTAATTTGGAAATTACTCGAGTACTATGGCGTACCCCAAATATTCATCAACCTTATTCAACAGCTGTACGACAACGGCGGCACATGTTAAGTAATCCACAACGGAAACCTCAGCGAGGCGTTTGGAGTAAACACAGGAGTCAGACAAGGGTGCTTACTATCACCAATGATAATCCTAATTGTGGTGGACTGGATTATGCGTCAGACAGTGGGAAACGAGAAGACAGGGATATCCTGGACCGACGACGTGAAGAACCTAGAAGACCTGAATTTCGCGGATGATTTATGTTTGATGTCACGCAACATTGAAGAATTACAAGCGAAAACCGACAAACTGGTCGAAGAAGCAGTCGGCGAAGACAGGACTCCTGGTGAACATAGACAAGACGGAGGTTACGAGAATAACCAACCAACCAACAACAACAGCACCAAAATCCAGCGTCAATCACCATCAGCGGGAGCGATTTGAAAGAGGCTACTTCATTCATTTATCTAGGGAGCATTGTCCCAACTACAGGAAGTCGGAACGGACGAGGATGTCAAATCGCGCGAGAGTCGGGAAGGTGAGCGAGAAACACATTCATCAACCTAAAACAAATCTGGAAATCTTCGTCACTCAACATCAACAACAAAATCCAGTCGGATCTGCAATACAAACAACGTCAAGTCAGTCAGCTGTTCTATATGGATCAGAAACTTGGCGGGCGGGTCACAAAGAATATTTCAAAAAACCTGTTGCAGACCTTTATCAACAACTTTCTTCGCTTTATACTGAAGATCAGATGGCGGGGCGGGAAAGAATCACCAACAAGGAATTATGGGAACAAACAAAACAAGAACCAATCACCAACCAACAAATATGCAGGAGAAAGTGGATTGAGATGGATTGGACACTCGCTGAGGAGACCACCGCTGGGTGACATCGCGAGCGCGTCAGGCCATTGCTCGAGTGGAACCAGAAAGGGAAGCGGCGTGTGGGACATCAGTGCAAGGGTGACATGGATGAGATCGTGGGAAGAGGAGTTGAAAGAATATGGATTAACATGGATGCAGGCGAAAAGTACAGCAGAAGACAGAAGAAAATGGAGACGTGCAGTTGAAGCCCTATGTTCCACTAGGAACCCAAGTGAGCAATAATAATAATAATCCAGTAGTTAACGGCACTATAGCTAACTGTTATTGCAATATTCGGCTTCACGGTAGAAATGGATGTCTGCATGGCTGTCAGTGAGAAATTTCAATCATCAGCGAATGAAGTCTTCGATATTCTTGAAATTTCATCAGGAACCATAGGGGGAATACTGACCTGTAATTCATAACGTAGCTAAAGAACTGTCTCACATCACATTGCTTGGTTTCAGTGCCATCGTATAACTCGACTGGACGTCTGCAAGGCATAAGTATTAAGGATGCAGGAATGACTGTGGCGCATCACATAGCATATAATGTCAGTCTTCCTTAGAGAATGTCCCCAACGTTTTTATCATTAGTTCTATTTGTGTGGTCATCCCACGTGGAGAGATACCACAAGGGTTCAGACTGAGATTCACCGTCATCTCTGTAACAGTTTGCAAACCGCGTTAATTACTGCTTGTAACGTTGGTAACCTCCTCATCACAGGTCACATCTAAACTTAAGCCAACTATGACTGGAAGTACTGTGGACTATTCAGGTAGTATTTTTGTACGGGTAGTAGGATCAGCTTTCTTCTTTCATTTCAAAAGCTTAGAACAACCCAGTGGTAATAAAATTTTACATTCAACATCTGACTGCAGTCACACAGGCTCTGCGAAAACTTCAACTTCTGCTCTTAAACAGGAGGTATTGTTTTGTTTTGTCGGGTGCAGTCAATTCCAGCGGCTGAATCGCAATTTTATCTGCGTGATCAAAAATGTCCTTAAATGAATTCTTCGCTAAACAAAATAAGAAGAAAACCAAAAAAAAGCAAAACCCTGCGGAATTAATGAACATGCTTACAAAGGAAAGGGAGAATATAAAAAGTCCCCCAGAAGCTAGTGTTCCACAAGATAGTAAACCTGCTATATCTGAGGTAAGCTGACTACATAGTAGCCTAACTTTTCATTTAGAAAGAGGATGAATGGGAAATTATAGATGATGAAAAAGAAATAGACTTGCAAAACATCAGAATTAGCAAGCTAACATCCACCACCACAGAAGATTCTAACAAACAATCAACCAAAAATAAAGAATCTCGTGAAGGTGATGGTGATGCAGTTGTCGAGAAAAAAGTTTGGGCTGCAAAAGTCGCTGAAGCGCGTAAGTGTATTGTTTTATCATATATTTTGTCCTGTAAGTTTTGGACGTCCAGAATTTTTGTACTTATGTCTACTTCGCCCAGCTAGCAAAGAAAAATTGGACTTGCTAGTCCGACACCATGTCCCGGATTTAGGGTACTTTCTGTGGTGATATACACGTTTGTGCGAACGTTTCTTGAGTACGCTAGCTGGGTGCCTGATATATCCGGTTGCTATAGATGAGGATAGAAGGCAACACGCTTATGTCAATTCTTTCCTAACAAGTATCTGCTTTGTCTAATCCATCGTTGAACGAGTTGGCTGAGAGCGTGGATACCATTGCTGTCTCTGAGAGTTAATGATACAGTGGGGGGGGGACCAGCAATTTTAAGCAATACAGTTCCTGGGCTTTTTATCTCCTGCTGTCATCTGAGATGTTCTGACCATGCATTAAGTCGGAAAGTTAAAACAGTGATGGGCATATTTATGGTTTAGGATGACCATTATGTGGATATGTAGGACATCTATCAGTGTACCTGATATCTGGCTGCACGTGAAGAGACGTGCACAGCATTTCTCTCCGTCCTTCATTGCGGCTATCCAGCAAAGGTTGTCAGTTGAGTGGTAAATATGAAAAGGCTAGCTGCTGTTAAACTAAGGCATTCCTGTAATATCATGTGTGTTAAGGAGTATAATACAGTAGCCAGTGAGTTTAGGCTTAATTTTATCGTTGGGCTTATTAAGCTACATCGATTTCGATACATCACCCTGCCGTATCAACTGACATAGGATTAAGTTGGAAAGGAGTTAAAGATGGTTACATCGAAGCGTAGTATCTACCCATAGAGTTTGACTGCCGGGTTGTGTAGGCTTCCTCCAAAGTCTAAGGATCAAGGGTTTTAGATTTTTGGTTACATGACTCAAAGGCAAGTATGTACTCATGCCTCCCAATCATTCACACCCAGTAAGGCTTTATTTCCCTCGGTAAAATTGTCCTTTCTGTTTCTGTTTGTTATTAGAGTTGAAATGTTAAGTATAGGGATTTTCGTGTTTCAGCCTACTTGCAGCTTAAGTGATACAGCAGTTTACGTTGTATAGAAATATTTACAAAGATTGGGAATAGTGGCTTTTGGTTCGGGAGACATCTTGCGATTTGCAGCTTATAGGCTTCAAATATATGCACCACGCATTTTGTGTCGATTCTGTTGATTAACGTGGCTCGTTGGTACAGAAACGTTTTTCTTGTGGTCTCTTTATCGTTTCATTAGTCAGGTTATCCATCGAATTTCAGCATAGTTACAATGTAAGCGATTAATTTTACTTCTACTACCCAGGATTATGACCAATCATTGCATGTGAAGTAATTCTGAAGAATATACTCAAGGGGAATCATTATGACACTAGCTTTACAGTAGTTCTGAGGTAGTCGTTAAGATAAGTATTCTGATGGGTCACTTTTTATTGAAAAATTAGTAGTTGATGACTCACTCCAAGTATCTTACCGTAAATATTTGCGTCACTGTAATAAATATGGATGCTGCACAGCATAAAACTCCGCACTATCATACCGTATCTACCTGTCATGGGTAGTAAGCAAACAAAAGGTTGAACGTAAAATCCTAGGTATTCGTGAAACACATAAGATAAAGGCGAAATGTTAATTAGTGTTAATATAAAGTTCTACTTATGGTATTAGTTGAATGAAGTGCATCACGTAAGTCAATCATGTGTATCAGTGTTACTGCCTGACTATCCAAACTTGAACAAACTTAACAGTTGAAGAAAAACTCTCAAACCAATGTTACAGCTCCAAAGGAATAAGTCACTCCAAGTAGGAAGTTCTTAGTTGTAAAATAGAATGTTAAGATCCTGCGAACGAGTGACTTTGATTGCCCGACCGAAAGCTGCTACCTTGACGTGGTGGTCGGGCTTGAACACCGAAATGACCTAATCAAGCTATACTGGCCGAGACTTATGTCTCTTGAGGTTCTACCATGCCAGGCAGGTTGTTTTTGGATAGCGGTTAAACAAAAAGCAGCTACCCCATCCAATACCATGATTCAAACAAATTCGCAAAATATCATGCCGGATCGGCCGTGGCCGGGATTAACAACGACCGCGCTTCCTGCTGCCGTGTCACAGGGCATGAGTGATAAGTATGCTACCGAGACACACCAAACAAAAACAGGTCGCATGTGACCGGCCTCAAGCAGTTGTCCCCTGGGCTCTGCGGTCACGCAACCAACTTCCACGGTGTGGGCAGCCGGGAAGTAACAAACGCCCTCACAATCCAGACAGATAGACTTCGATTGCGAATAGTGTCATGAGAATGAATTCGTTAATCATGAGGTTGCGGATTCTACAAGATATCGTAGTGTGCTTTAGCCACTTGTTGTTCTCCACCTTACACAGTACAGTTCACTACATCGTTTGCTTATATGCAATGAACTGCGTGACTTTTTCCCATGACGGTTATAAAATGAACGGGACATACGTTAAACACCATGCGAACTGAAAAGTACGAGTAATTAACTTCATAGAATTAGTGTCGGCCCAGCAATCTCTCTTTTACTTGAATTTGTACACTTATATTAACAGTGAATATTACTGCATAACACCGAGATTTTATCAAAATAAATTTTTTGCACAATACAATAAAATACTCTACCACAGTGCCCAAGTTTTATTTTTATATCAGTAATTAGATGCTGTCAACAGAAGGCCATAAAAGCAGACTTCAGGACAACCCTGGAAGTTTATCTTAAGTGGCAAATACAGTACACAGAAAATTCACCTGTAGAAATCAATCTGGACTAACGACTTTTATTGATCTCTAGTAATTATTTGAGTACTTTCCAAGGGTAGTCCATGTTTTCATGTCTGTTATTGAGTACCTTAGTATATTAAATCTCAATTTGGCGTACTAGAATTTTCGTCTTTGCTAATTGTGAATTTTTACAGCTGAAGAACCTGCGGAACCAGTTGTGCAACCATCACCACCACCACCACCGAAGCCTAGTGTCTATATTCCTGCTCCTTTGAGACAAGGCGGCAGTGCTTTTGGTGTTACTGCAGCCAAACCGAATGTTGCCAGTACTATGGACTTTCCTTCTTTAGATGCAGTTGTAAGCGAGCCTCAGAAAAAAGAGACCACCCAGCCAGAAACTAATAAAGATGACGATGGTGATTCGTGGCAACAGGCAGGTGTGCGTCGTCCTAATCCGGTGGCAAGTGTTCCGCCTATAGCCATTAACACAACACCATCCGCTTATGTGCCTCCATGTTTGAGGCAATCAGCAAATCAAGGAGTTGTAAATATTGGTTCAGCTCACTCGCAAATTACATCTGCCCCTCGCAATGACCCACCCTCTCGTTTCGATGGTGACAGTGGATTTAAACGCAGTGTCCCAGAAGCCTCAGGATTTCGTGAAGTATTTTCTTCTGGTGGAGGTTGGGCTAGAGGGGAAGTTATTAGTGGGGGTTCTGGTAATAGTCCCACAGTGAAACAGACATCAAATCCCCCCAACGTGAATTCTCAAACATCTTCAGAAAACACAAATGGATGGTCACGAAATGTCAATGTGAAAACTTATAAGTGAGTTATGCTGGTGATAAGATATTTAAAATTCCTTATTATTGTTTTTTTATAATACTGTTAATTTTTGGCATTTGAGTATCGCTAACTCTAGAGTGCTTGTCTAGTTTATATATTCAAATATACTCCGTCTAGAGCTGACATTATCTCTTGTAGTAGTAGTAGTATAAGTTGAATCGATTGGTTGTTATGAACTCATTTTTAAAAGGTGAGAGTAAGTATATTTTGACAATTAAAGTTCACTTTCTTCGTGAAAAGTGATTCAAATATATGTTAGAAAGTCAGTGCCTCTATAACGAATACAGTAAATATCCTTATTTTAACAGCAGTTACAACAAGATTTCTTCTAAACACCATCACCTTGAATAAACCAGCTAAATTAGTGTGAATTTTACACCATTTGGTGAAAAATTCATCAAAGAAGTAACTATTCCATAATAACTCTTCATTCTAGTCAGTTTCTTAAATAACGCCTACTCATCTTACGGCAAAACAAACATAGAGTGAATTAGATTGAACTAATCCACCAGACAGCTTAGTTTGTGAAGCCTGGAGTTTCTGATATACCTGAATTTGAATACCTGTCTGTTGTGATAGAAAGTGTACAAGGTAAATTGTGTTGAGCTTTGTTTGACTGATCTTTGTATAATTAGTCAATTTATTGTATGTTACAGACCTTGACAAAGCATTGTCATAAAAGAAAGATGAAAGCGATAACTGTGCACTATCATCTTTCGGTAATTTCGTATGCGAAAAGTTTTTTTTTGATATATAACAGTGATACAGTCTGAATAAAGTTGATGATGTTTTGTGCGCAATTTATTGCTAAATAATCATATTAGCGTATTTACTCATCTTCTTAGCTTCCTTTTGATATGCGGACAGATAAACAATGGAGTATCCTCTTCTCTCACGCCTACGTCATATATATATATACATATATATATATATATATATATATATATATATATATATATATATATATGCGGAGAACTGGTTTTACGTCGTATGTTCTCGCTTAAGTAGTGCAAGCCATGGAAACAGGTAGCTGTTGTATACACTTTGAAAGAGTGAGAGTGGCTAACAGTTTCATGGTCACCACATCCATGTCTAGCTTGACAATGGTATTTCAGTCTGTCTGTCTGTCTGGATTCAACATAGAACTTGCCACTGAAGTGCGACAGTTCGAGTTACCACGTTCCAAATACCACACAAAGGTAGACAAGAAGATGAGTGAAGAGAATCAATAGAGTTTGACAAGTATAAGAGTGAAACAGAATGGGTAATGGGAGAGAGGAATATGAAAGATTACAGAGACTGAATACATCTTCGCCACTGACAACGATTTTGAACCATGTCACCTTTTGTCTCCAGCCATTCATTCCTAGAGTCCCGAGGGCCCCAACCCGGAAGTCTGCATCTCCCTACCTGACTCAGTTTAACTATCAACGATTTCATGGATTGATACCATGTTTTTGTTTGGCCACCACTTACTCTTTTCCAACCTGCACCTATATCAGCTAGTAATGCCCATCGGGGGAGGCGATGGTCAGGTATGCGCAGCAAGTGACCTAACCATCTCAATCTACGTAACTTTATAGCCTCGTCGATTGATTTTCCCTCTTTGCCCAACACTACGCCTAACGTCAACATTATTTACCTTATTATACCACGTAACGTGAGAAAGAGATCATAGACATCTATTATCAAAAACAGTCAACCTTTTCATGTCTTCAACTCGTATTGGCCATGTTTCAGAGCCATAGAGAAGGGAGGAGCGAGCTGCTGAGTGTCTCAGTGTGGTTAAAAGTATAAGAGTGGCGAAATCATAACACAGCTTGATACAGACTTACTCTCTTGTTTTTACTATAATTTTCCATGTATTATTAGGAATATATGACTATAAGCAATAACTTGCTCTTGGAACGTACGGCATCCAGTTAATTAATACAGTATCACTGTGTTATACCAAATGACAAAAGCCTCGCAATTAAATCAGCCAGCGCTTCAGAGAACACGACTAATTCAATTATCCTTAGGTGGTCATAAACGAGATATACTGTTAAGTCTAAGACGACATTGTGTTACTCTGTGGTGTTTTCCAAGTAATAATAAATGCCGAAAAGAGAGAAGGCGTCTTCACTGGTTTTACAGAATATAGTACATAGTTTAACCAGACTGTTAATTGCAGTTTCCGATGTAAAACAAAGTTAAATGAAGCTGTTGGCTCCTATGACCCTTGCAAAATTGATGATATTGATACAGAAATCTAGTCTGAAGTTAAGTATCTTGGATTAATTCTTTCCACTGACCTATCCTGGTCTTCCCATGTCTTAACGATTTCCAAAAGAATATTTCGTCTGACTTTTTACATTATGAAGTTAAGGCATTCAGGCATAGCTCAACCAACCCCTCCTCTTACAGTTTGTCAACTCGTGCATTTTACCTATTCTTCTCTACTGTTCACCCTTATTCTTTACTGGATTGCTTAAAAATACTATGTCATACTTCGTAGAACTCTTAAGACTGTCAGTAGTGCGGGTGGTATCCCATTGGGCAGTATCGTTGACATTGTCATTGATAGGCACTTGATGTCATGCAACAAATTTGCTAAAGAAATTTTGTCAGGATGTGAGCATCCACTGCAGCACCCGCAGCTCCAACCTTGTGTCTCCTCAGGTAAAACAAGTAAATGCATGTACGTCTAAGTATAAAAATTCCACTATACCATACTTGGCCGCACGTACTTTATGTGATAAAAATAGTGTTAGGCACGAACTAACTAACCTTCTCTGCACTATTAAATAAACCATTTCCTCCCCCCTACAACACTAACTATTATTGTTATTGTACTTCTAAATATTTATAATCCTCTCAATTTTGTTTTTATTTATTTATTTATTTCTCATAAGTGTGAACATCATTTAAGTTGGGTTATAACTGTTAATTTTGTCTTTCCACTCACCATGCTATACCAACAGGACATTAAATTCACTAATCTATATTAACATGCTAAAATTTCCAAACTGAATCGACAATATTGTTCGAAACAAACTCACTGTTATCATTATTATTATATTTAACATTCTGAAAATTCGTACTTCGCAAAATGTGGACAAATTCATATAAGTATAAAACTTGGATACTGTGGTAGAGTATAACTCCATTATGGATAAGATTTTATTTTGATAAATCACACACAGTGTTGTACAGTTATATTAACTGATGACGTTTCGAGCATAAAATATTGCTGCTCATAATCATATCAAGTAACTCACACAACTTTGTTCTTTCACATTTATATATATGTGTGGAATCGATTAGATATTGGATTAAAAATTAATGTGAGATAATGTCCATTCAGAAATAATAGCACGAGTGTTATTAACCCATTACAATTATGTGGGAATACGAGTGTTTTTATATAGTCACACTAATTTACTTGTTAGAATGTTGTGATGTTTGAATTGAAATAGAATTTTTTAGATTATTTATTATCCTCCTCTGATTTGACTGACTGGTGGTAATAATATCTTCCATATTTCTGGTATTTGGTATGTTTTAGTTCATCATTTAGGTCTTTTCTTGTGCTATTTAGTGCTACTGCGCGCACACACACATGTATATAAATGAAAGAAAAAAAATTGTGTGAGTTACTTGATATGATTATGAGTGGCAGTAGTTTGTGCTCGAAACGTCATCAGTTAATATTACTGTACAACACTGTGTGATTTAATAAAAATAAAATCTTATCCATAGTGGACAAATTCCTCTGGTTGGGGCCCTCGGGACTCTAGGAATGAATGGCTGGAGACAAAAGGTGACATGGTTCAAAATCGTTGTCAGTGGCGAAGATGTATTCAGTCTCTGTAATCTTTCATATTCCTCTCTCCCATTACCCATTCTGTTTCACTCTTATACTTGTCAAACTCTATTGATTCTCTTCACTCATCTTCTTGTCTACCTTTGTGTGGTATTTGGAACGTGGCAACTCGAACTGTTGCACTTCAGTGACAAGTTCTATGTTGAATCCAGACAGCCAGATTCCTCTGGGTAATTTTGTTTTAATTTTATTTATATTTTGAGTAAATCAGATGCAATATTGTAACAATTACTGAGAATTCCATTCTATATTCTAAGTACTGTCTGTTTTGGAATAAAGTAGATTATTATTATTGTTATTATTATTACATACATAATTTATGATTTCTATTTAATTTTCTTTCAGGGATACTGCACGAGAGAAACCTGGACTTGAAATCGATTTAAGGAATAGGTTTACAGCATTCAGTGAAACATGAATGAATTCACTCATCCATCGGTTATTTGCAATCTCTGATTTTTTTCTCTCGTTTGGAAATAGTATATTATTCAGGATCTATGGCCTTGACACTGACTGTTGTGTGAAGTACAGTGATTTAAATGTGAACCATTCTCTCTCTACAAGCTTGTGATAGGGCTACAAGTTATATAAAAGTACTCTACAAGTACAAGTACAACAATTTTCTGTTTTTACACTAGGAAGTCAGAACTTGTGTTTTTTCTTACAAATAGCAGAGATAGTTTTTATTGCCGAATACTACTTATTCTGTAATCTTTTGATGATGGGTTTGGTTGTGGTATGTATGTATTATTAACTTCTCAAAAAAATTTTTTTAATCCCTCAAACGTGTTCCACACGTTCAACAGAAAAGTGTTTTGGTTACAGGTTATTGCCAATGCTTTTCAAAAAAATCAACATTCTATTTTATCCTTATTCATAATCAATATGGCATTCTAAGATTATCGAGTTACATTTTTTGTTTTTGGTTGATGAGATGGTTAATAATACCGTTGTTGAATAGTGTATGAACTTTTCTCTGCATAAATCTTCCGAATTAGTGTATTGTATATGAAGTGAATGGTAGTTATTTATTATTATTATTCACTTTTATTTCATTTCCTGGAATTTTTGTAAAAGATTATTTCAAAATTATCAGTTAATTGAGCTAAGATAAGAGAGTTAGTTTGTGTAGTTTGGTTTGGTTCGGTTTTGCCTGGTTTTCGTGTAAACTTATGCAAACAAACGTTTTTGGATTTTTGTTTTATATTTTGTATTTAACTTATCGAACAAAATGATCTACATCTTTAATAGTTTTTAACTTGACTGTCTTGGCTTTTATTTCTTACAATATGGAATTAAACAATCATACAACCACTGGTATTTTGAATAAGGTTTAAATTGCAAGCGAAGTCTTAGAGAGCAGTAGGACTGATCTAACTGATTACCTGTAGAGGTATATACCACTGTTTCTGAGCGATCTGCGTCACTATACCGCATTAGTTTGTTTATTAGATGTATCACACAGTGAAACACTATTGTTTACTGGATGACGTTTCGAACATAGGTCAATCTAGTAGAACAGGGGCAGTGAGTCAGACTAGCCGAACATAAAAGCCCAGGAAAATCTAGATTGGTTGACCCGAATAAGATAAGAAATCTAGAGAATAGTTCAGCTATACCACTCACTACATGCAGTTACACACAACCATGCAATAGGATGGCAGTTTTGGAATCTAGTGCAACTAACAAGGTGGTGGGAGAGATTGATGACAAAAGCTTTGTTCATCGAATCAACTGAGAGGGAATACGTGTAATAGGAATGATTCAACACCTGTCCACCCAGATATCTGGAAAATTCTACTACCCCTATGACGACAAATATTAGAGGACAAAGAAAACTATAAAACTGAAGTTTCGAAGTCGTGTGATTATAATTGATGAAATGATTATGAACCACAATAAATTTGGTTCGAAACTCTGTCATCCAGTAAATGATACTGTTTCACTGACTGTGTGATATATCTAATAAACTAACCAATATGGAATTTTTCCAACCACAGTACCCAAGTTTTACACATATATTAATGTCACTATACCACGTTGTAAATAGTTGAGAATTAAGACCCAGCTAAAAAGAGTGAGCTTATCATGTGTGTAGATTATATTTACCTTAGGTAGCTGCAGTAGGCATATCCTCTGATTGTTTTACCCTGAACCGTGCTAGGTTGTTAAAAAATGTTCGTGCTAGAGTAAACATATGAAGTCATCAAGTAGAGTTTTTTGGGTGTCCTAATTGATATCAGCGAAGCGCAACAGAAATCAATAGTAACAATCTAGGTAATGTCAACATTGCATAATTTGACTTGAAGTCTCAGATCTTAGTGGAGAATTAACGCTACAAACACCAGTAAATTCAACACAATGCGTTACTTCTTTTCGTGGCATTCTCATCAGCCACTCAGTTTTGATAAATATGTCTTCGGTTGATTCATTGATGATGGATAAGGGGATGCTCGGTGCCTAGTAGTGTACGCACGCGCAACCTGTGGCCAGCAGTTCGTAAGGCTCTGATTTCAATCTGTTAAAAGAGAATAATCTCTAAACTTATTTGTATCACTGGAAATTGTAAGAGTATGTGGCCTTTTATACTCGTCTACCATTTTGATCATACTTCAAATGAAGTCTTCGGTGGGGGTGGTTTTTGAAGACAGGTGTGTTTCGGTTTAAGTATCCGTGTGGTAGTAACTCAGCTCTGACATGACTGTTTGTGTTTTATCTTGTGAAATGCATTATGGCATCCCTATACCCATTCGCCCAACCCTTTCTTCTTGCCTATTGCTGTATGAATTGTCTTGACCTATTGCTATCAAATGTGCATTTGTCGGGCTGCAGCTTATATGTGTGGGCACTCGACTTCCAACTAGTGGGTCGGTGATTTTTAACCCCACTCCACCTTACTAGATTTACGCAGCCAGGTTGTATCATTATACCTGGTATAATAAGTGTGAATTTTTACCAGTCTCATGGAATGCCAAGTGGTTGTTGATTGAAACTACTGCGATTTGTTTTAAAGTGTACTTTATGTATCTGCTCTTCATTGATTTATATCGTAGTTTGTACCGCAGGAAGTCGCTGATTAAAGGTCACCCTCAGTAGTCTGTCGTCGAAAATCACTCCTAGCACCCTATTATAATATATAAGGTTTTTACTTACTAAGCGCACATCTTTTAGCAAATAAGGCAACAAAAAAGTTTGACAGGAGTGCTGAAACCTGTATGCTAAATGCGAATGAAGTGCACTGGTGTAGAGTTTAGCCTCAGAGGAGAATCGCTTTGTATATTAAAAGGAGATTTATTACTTTCAGGTTGGGTGGTAGCTGTTTGTTTTTATGCAAAATCTATTTCTAAGCTTTGTTAACTTGGTATCCTCTGTTACTCAGGTTTGAGCTCTCACGTCTTTCTCAGCTTCCCATGGTATGGTTACCTTTATTGGAGAATCACTCTTTCTAGAGTACCCGTAAAGCCACTGTCAGAGTTGGTCTTGTGCTTTGATGGTCGTCATCACTCTTAGGAAATCTAGGGAAGTGATTTATGTGACGCTGCTTTGGAATCCACTGTCAAACCTAGTTTGGTTTTATGACTAGTTTCTGGTCTTCTGTGATAATCAGTCGAAAATCAGCATGTCTTGTAGGCCTCTCTGATATCAGTACAGTCTTTTTCGGTTTAGGAGTACATTTTCACTGACAAACCGTGGTTTTTTTTCTGTGGATTTACAACCTCGATACCAACCAGGAATTCTAACCCTGACCTGATTGGTTGATAATTGATTAAGCCAATAAATTTATATCTCCACGGATGGTGTGCTTCACAGTCTGTAGAATTTTGCATTTCTGAAAAAGACAGGCATGGTGTTCACAACCTATGAACAAGATTGAAGCATATATCACTAATTGCTAGTAATAAGAAGCCTGGTGTCGATTAGAGAATTTTCAAGACATGTCCTGTCGAATTGAAAACATTTGTTTCCCTATACGGATTTAAAACAAACAATAATGGTTAGTAAATCAGGATTTAATGAATTAAATTCCTAGACGTTTCTCTAACGAAAATTGAATGATGGTGCAATTGAAAGGTCTATATTTAGAAAATCTTCATGGACAGGATAGTACATGCATTTCAAGAGCTTTGTTCCAATCCAGTATAAAAAAAAACTTATTCAGAACACTGTTCAATATACCACGGAAAATTTGTTCTGACAGTACAATTGAGCATGAAATAAAAGCTCTAAAGGATATTTTATCTAAGAATGCATATCCTGAGAAGTTCATTAATAAATACTCTAAAGAAATTAGCCCCTGCAAGACTATCCAAACACTTCCGAAGAAATCTGTCTATATCAGTTTGCCATTCAAAGTAGCTGATATACAGGAAGTAGTCAAACGAAGACTCTATAAAGCTATCAAGAGAACTTATTACGCTGCAAAACTTGTTATCCTCAACACCACCACCAAGCGAGTGCTTCAAAAATCTGGGAAAGACCAGCCGCCAGTCCTGGACACTTCAATCTTACTTTAGTTGCTGTCTAACTAACCTTGACTCTCTTCATTAGATCATTTTTGTATCACCTGATTAATTATGTAGACTTGACAAACCTCATATACACAAAAACACAGCTGTGTGAATGAATTCGCTGTCGAAAAGAGTCTCTTCGCTGGACGTCTTCTATTTTTTTTCATATGACTCAATGGTGATTTTTAAGCTACTTAAAAGAGGAAGTGTTTTGTCAAAAAAAAACCTTTTAACCTTTGACATCCTTCGATTTGTTTTCACCCTCTGGTGATAAGCTACTTGAAACTGAACAAATCAGCCACTTGAAGATACAGCATTTTGATAGGAAACAAAGACTAAAAGTGTCAACGTAGAACAATTAGACGTCGTCTTTCCAACTCATATCATTTACAGGTACAACGTTTTCCTTCTTTCTTTTCCTTTTCTCTCTTTTTTTTGTCTGCCATGTACTGCTTTGTTTCTTTCTTCTGCTTACGCCAGTAAATATGCTAGTTAGCATCTACTTTTCTAACAACTTCAAAACACTGTTCAATTTCGGCTTTACTACCGACATGCTAATAAGTTGTTGTCATAATGAACTGAGATTACCCTTAATCTATGTAGAATTTTATTTATTGTTAATGTACTAACTGGATTCAATACTGTAGTAAAATGCCGAGAATTCCATTCTGTATTCGCAAATACTGTTTCGGAATAAAGATTATTACTATTATTCTTAAAATGTACACTTCTCAGAAGAATCACAGATACACGTAGTTTTGTTTGAAGGATTACAAAATGAAGCGAAATGACTTCGCATTACCAAATAACTTTAATCATTAGTCCAACCTCAGTCGAATCATATGAGAACATGAAGTTCTTGATATAAGTATAAAACTTGGGCACTATGGTAAAGCATAACTCCATTATAGATAAGGTTTTATTTTGATAAATCACAGTGGAGTGTTATACAGTAATATTAACTGATGACCACGTTTCGAGCATAAAATATTGCTGCTCATAATCATATCAAGTTACTCACTCACACAACTTTCTTGCCTCATTTATATACATGTGCAGAATTGACGATTAGATATTGGGATAAAAATCAATATGGGATAATGTACATTCGGAAATAATAATGATATGAGTGTTATTCATCAATTACAATCAGATGGGAAATAAGACGAGTGTTTTTATAGTCAAAATAAATAAGTAACTTGTTAGAATGTTGTGATGTACGTGAATTGAATTGAAATAGAATTTTGAGATTATTAATTATCCTCCTCTGATTTCACTGACTGGTGGTAATAACATCTTCCATATTTCTGGTATTTGCATTAAGTCATTTCTGTTGTATGTGTTGGGTGTAGACTCGATGAATAAGGATTCCGTAATCAACCTTTCTCTCCACCTACCTCTATTCGTTTTCTGAATTCTAACCCTATCCCACCCTATTGTGTGGTTGAGCTGACCTTTTTTCTAAATTGCTTATCTTTTCAGGGTCAACCATTGTTACCTTAGCTAAATTCTTATGTTCTGATAATTTGACTATCCCTGACCTACTAGTTTGACATATGTAGTTGACCTCACTCACAGTCATTGCAAAGTATTTTGTAAATTATAGTATTTTGTTAAACTGGGTCAAAAGGGTTCTTTACCCCACAGAGCTTGTCTCTGAGTGATTTTGTAGGTTTAAATGCCACCCTAATTCCTGTTTTATTTAGAATCTTACGTAGGGTCTTAGATGTCCTCAAATCAGAAGAGGATAATAAATAATCTCAAAATTCTTTTTCAGTTCAAGCATATTAGAACATTCTAACAAG